TACAAATACAGAAGAAGCTTTTTAAAAAGGAAGAAGAAAGAATTGTAACTGTAGATAAAGAAGTACAAGGACTTAAATAAACCATCACAAAATTGAGAGCGTACTGCTAAAAGAGTACTAAAAATAACAGAAAGGCATGAAAATGCAATCCAGAACATTAAGAATGAAATGACAGAAGTATCCAACACATTGAAACGAAAAACAAGTAGAATAGATGGAGCAGAGAGTTGGTGAGCTGGAAGACAAGAACTTCAAAGGAAACATACTATAAGAAAAATGAGAGATAAGATATAAAGAAAATGAAGAAAACATTAGAATTATGAGTGATGACATAGTAAAAGGGATAACAAATGTATGATTGGAATTCCAGAAAACGAAAGGAATAAGAAAATGATGAAGAAATGCTCAGACTCACTGGTGATATGAGAGATGTAAATGAAAAACACAATGCAAACCCATCCAACTCCCGTAACAGCAGCAAAGATTAACAGGACAGCAAATAGTAAATTTTGGAGAGGATGTGGTGATATAGGAACTTTAATACATTGTAGGTGAGATTGTATAATAGTACACAATCTGGAAGGCAGTTTAGAGATTTCTAAAAAAACCTGCACATAGAAATTCCCTATGGCATAGCTATTCCATTGCTTGGAATATGCCCCAAGAAAATGAGAACTGAGGCACAAATAGAGACTTGAACACTAGTGTTCATAACATCATTATTAACCAACACAAGAAAATGGAAATAGCACAGATGTCCAGCCATAAAGAAATGGATTGAGGTATCAAAGCCAGGGCACAGGCCTAAGAGCTGGAATTTGAGTAAAGTTCCTGCATGTGCCAAATCGGGTAGAGATTGCATGTGCACCCTCCTGGCATGCATCTTTGTGCATGCCAGGTACCTACAGCACCCCTGACCAGCCCTACACACCCATCCACCACTATGCTCTGCCCACCTCTACCCAGTAACTTGAAATCAAGAACCTACCATTGCTTCAGGCATGAAAAAATTCTACCACTGCAATGCCACGTAAGAAGCAGGCTACCTAACAAACTACACAAGCTCAAAGAAAGATGTCACCCCAAAAAAAAGTGACACAGTGTCAATGGATTTCCTGAAGCCAGGAATTCTGATGGAACTTTCTGAAACAGAATTCATAAGAAAAATGATTGAATTTCAGTGGGTGAAAGGCAAACATGAAGACTTACAGGACACTGCAAGAAAAAACCAGAAGGAGTTGAAAAAAGAAATGCAGATAAAACACATTAGGCATTAGAGGCTCTGGGAAAACATGAATACAAAATGCAAAATATGAGGTCCAATGTTTCAGATGCTGTCAACATGATGGAGGAACACATGAACAAAGCTGAAGAGATGGAACGCAGAACCAGTGAAACAGAAGATAGAATTGTCACCACTGATCTGCTAGAGCAAAAAACAGAATAAAAAAAGAAGTAAACAGAAGAAAACCTAAGAATAATGTGAAACACCATCAAGAGAAATAACATGAGCATCACCGGAATCCCAGAACAGGAAGAAGCAAGTAAAGGCACTGAGAAAGTTGTGGAAGAATTACTAGAAGACCACTTTCCAGGTATAATGAAGAATGTTGTTGTTGTTATGTGCTGTTGAGTTATTTGCAACTCATAGTGACCCTATGTACAACAGCCCATAACCCTGCTCTGTCCTGTGCCAATCTCACTCTCTCTGACACACCCACGCAAATTACCCCAGTCATTGAATCAGTCCACCTCAAAGAGGGTCTTCCCCTCCTATGCTGTCTGTTGACCCTCCAAAGCATAATGTCCCTCTCCAAGGACAGCTCCCTCCTTGCAACATATCCAAAGTATGTCAGATGATGTCTCAGAATCCTGCCTCCAAGGAGCAGCCTGGTAACCCTCTTCACAATGAACCTGTTTAATACTCTTCTCCAG